CTCTGCATCAAATATCAACCATCATAACTAATTATCATTAAGTTTTAATCAATTTGGTATTTGGTCGGTATCAGTCAAATCATTTCACTCATAAGTGGTATATTGTCAGAGGATTCTTCATCAACATATCTTTTATTATTTTTAGACTCTTATCATTTGACTTAGTTTCATTATTCTTCTCAACACATGAGTGTCATCACCTCGTTCTCTGTCAGTCTGCCAGTCATGGACAACCTCAACAAGATTGTTTCTTATTATGTTTTTCTTTATCAGTATATCAATGTAGTTGGTTTCAAAAGAGGAGATATGTCAATCTTCGTGGTTCTCACAAAGGTTGCAGAGGGAACCATCCAGGACCTGATAATCTATTTGAAGAAAGGGAAAAAGACTCGTGAGCACTTCAATTTCGTTTGGGTCACAAGGACTTAGTATGTCGAAAAAAAGGCAAAAGTGATTTTGAAGGACACAAGGATGATTTATAGCATTTGTCTGAAGTTGTATATTGACTACCCTAGGTCTCTGGTCCTTTTTTATCTCACTGATGGTTCTTAATAGGGTAATTTGGTTGAGGTGGCCAAGAGGTATGTCTCACCCGCAAATATTGATTATGAGGCAATGACAAAACCCTCTAGTTTTGTCCATCTATGACGAGGGATCTTCTTTATACCATATCTCCTTACTTTATAAGAGTTTGTGTTATGCTTGATTTTCAAATTTTTTGTTTTGGGTGGACCTATTCGAAACTCATGGGCCTTAAGTGACTTTATATCATTAAGCCATAACCTCATAAGGTACCTAGACGTGGGTCAAGGTGCTCGGGGCGCACCGTTAGAAGAGAGACAGAGGATGAGACTTGAGAGGGATGAGTGAGGACTCTTGACGAGTGTTGGTCATGTCTTTTCATCAATATTTTTTTTAAATTATTATGAGTTTTCACCTTCCCTCATTCATTTTGTCTTCGTCTTGATTCAAGTATGTTTTAATCTTATTTTCATTGTCATGGCTTAATGTTATGTTCTCTGTTGATCATGTCACACTTCTAAAATTCCTAAATTGACAATCTTGATATGCATGTGATACATTCAATTTAAATATACTATTTGCATTAACATTGTTATTCCGAAACATAATCAAAGATTCATACGAGCGGGGACCGATGTAAATCGTAATTGAAGAGTCTCGCTTGAAGTCCGACGCAAACAACGGAAAGGGATTTTCATTATTTATTAATTAATTATTAAAAAAAAAAAATTGCGAGACAGCCTGTTGGCTTTCTGGGCGTCGGAAATGGCTTGGCTGGAAAAAGTGCAACACCGGTCGACTTTGCCCGCCCACTGTGTGGCATGCACATACGGCTGCCTTCACTTCGTCCCCCGAGCTCCACTGTTATGTCGCGCCGCGGGTGGATCAAATGATCGTAAGAGAGTGTTGCTACGACCTCTTGCTATCATGTGGCAGGATTTTGGTCACACACGCAGCTGCAGTCAAGGCCAAGACCAAACGTCGATGGTCCGGATCTTGATATTGGCATATCAAACTTTAAACTGCACCTAAACTTCCTGTTTATGGTAGAGGTATGGGGAGTGGATGGTGATAGAGATATGAGTATCGGGTGGTGATAGAGGTATGGGAAGCGGGTGGTGTCCGTAAGCCTAATGACGACGAAAACTGAAGATGTTCTAGGTTCGAATAACCTCCGTACTAAGAATTCAAAGAATAAACAGAGGGATCTAATGATGATAAGGTTAGGATCTCTTTAAGAAAATCAGGAAAAACTAGGGTTCGCCTATGAGACTTGTAGTGACATGCTTACCCCTCTTGCTCGAAGTGCCCGGTACGATTTGGCTCGTTCGATAGACAAGTGCTTCAATCAGGGTTGGGGTGGGAGGTGAGACCTGCTTAGCCCTGATGCCTATAATCACTGTCCGGTCAAAAAGATCACTAGAATGGGTGATGATCCTGGGTATACTCAGGTAGGACCTTGGGAGTAAGGATGGGCCAGGGATCATGATGATGAGTAAGGGTGGGAGGGTGTCTCATAGGGGACCAGTTAGACAATACATCGGGTGATCAAATGGTCAAGTGCTGGCAGGCCTGTCATGCCTTGGGAAGGAGGGGCGGGCACACGAGAGAGAGAGAGAGAGAGAGAGAGAGAGAGAGAGAGAGAGAGAGAGAGAGAGAGAGAGAGAGAGAGAGAGAGAGAGAGAGAGAGAGAGAGATTATCTGCATATGGATTAATCTTTTTGGGAGCACACTTTGTATGGGCGATGCTGTTAGACTCAATGATCTATGGTTGTTCGATGCCAGAACGACGCTGGCTGGTGCTGGGGTGTTGCCCTGTGACCTGCTGACGCAGGAGCGTGAGGCCTGGTAGAGAGATCTGGGGATGCTTTGGGGTGGGCATTCCACGGGACAACTAAGGGTTGCTGCTGGGACGACGCTGGTCGGAGCTGGGGTGAGTTGTGTTGCCCTGTAACCCAGCAAAATGTGGGGGTGTGAAACCTGGAAGAGCTCGGCAGGGAGTAGGACAGTGTTGGAGTGCTTTGGAAGGGTTTGTTAGGGATTTCAAGGGTTTTTTAGCATTTGTAGGACTTAGGAGGTCTATTTCTATGTTTTCCGTATTGCTCAGACGTTTTCTAAAGAGACTGAGGTGAGTGGGAGAAGGAGAAGGTGGGATATTACGCGTCCTACTAGCAAGAGGGCTACCTGGCAGGACAGGAATAGGGTACAGCAGCAGTGGAGATGGTGGCTCTGCTGCAGTAAGTCTTGCCAGAGTGGGGTACAGGGGATGGATTGGGGGTTAGAGTCTTTTAGGTGAGCGGGAGAAGTAGATGGTGGGATATCAAGCATCCTACTAGTATGGGGGCTAGCTGGTAGGATGGAAATAGGGTACAGCAGCAACAGAGATGGTGGCTCTGTTGCAGTAAGTCTTGCCGGAGAGAGGTAAAGAGGATTATGGGGGGCTTCTGAGTCGGTTTCTGAATCTTGTCCAATTCTGAAGTTTGCCGTATACTCCTAAGTAGCTCAATTTTTTTCTTAGCCAAAGCCGGGTAATGGCCCCGGTATCTCAAATTTTCAAAATTTGATGTAATTTTCCATATGGGACGCTGGGCCCGGTTCCCAGCACGTGCTGCTCCCCACGAATAGATTGGAGCCTCCCATTAAAAAAAGAAAAAAAAAAGAAAAAAAAAAGGGCTTTTAGTCTTATGTTTCTATTCAGTGGGCGTGGTTATTGGCAAGAGCTTATTGAATCAGTTGTATGGGCTCATAAGAAGTTAGAAGTTGCTCCTGCTATTCAGCCTAGGRCCTTGAGTATTGTACAAGGACGTGCTGTAGGAGTAGCTCATTACCTCCTAGGAGGAATTGCCACAACATGGGCATTCTTCCTAGTAGCAAGAATTATTTCAGTAGTGTAAATTAATGGCTAGGAGGCATTGAAAACTAATATGGCAACGAGATTTCCCAAATTTAGCCAGGGCCTATCCAAAGATCCGACTCTCTCTCT